ATAGATAGATAGATAGATAGATAGATAGATAGATAGATAGATAGATAGACAGATAGATAGATAGATAGATGAGTGAATGGATATGGATAGATATACAGTCAGGTCCGGAAGTATTCGGACACTGACTGAGTTTTTGGGCTTTTTCCTTTATACACCACTACAATGGATTTGAAATAAAACAATCAAGATGTGATTGAAGTGCTCACTTTTAGCTTTATTTTAAGAGGTTCCACAAAAATATGGCATTTACCATTTATCATTGACAGCCATTTTAAGCAAAGTACCTCCATTTTCAGAGGCTCAATAATAATATTTGGCCAGTTGACTAAGAAGAGGTTAATTGACCAGGTGCTGTCCATTCCTCGTTACTTCAAGACAAATTCAGCTGATAAAAGATTTGGAGTTGATATAATGTATCAAATTGGCATTTGGAAGCTGTTTGAACGGTGCTACCAATATGAAGTCCAAGCAGATATCAATGAAAGTGAAGGAGGCCAACATAAAGCAGAAAAAAACAACATCAAAAATGAGAGATTTCAAAAACCTTGGGTGTGGCCAGATCAACGGTTGGCTACATTCTTAAGAAAAAAGAAAGCATGGGTGAGCTCAACAACATTAATAGGCCTGGAAGACCACGGAAGACAACTAAAGTGGATGATCGCAGAATCCTTTCCTTGGTGAAGAAAAACCCCTTCATAACATCAACAGAAATACTCTGGAGGAGGCAGGCACATCAGTCAAAATGTACAATCAGGAGACGCCTTCATGAATGTAAATACAGAGGGTATTCTTTTGCCAGAAAACATCTAAAAAAAGCCTCCCATGTTCTGGAATAAGATTCTTTGGACTGATGAAATCAAGATTAAGTTGTACCAAACTGATGGGAAGTGAAAAGTATGGTGAAAGAAAGGGACAGCTCATGATCCAAAGCACACCACTTTAACTGTCAAACATGGGCATGTATGGCTGCCAATGGAACGGGCTCACTGGTGTTTATTGATGATGTAACTGCTGACGGAAGTAGTAGGATGAATTCTGAGGTCTTTAAGACTATACTCACTGCTCACTTTCAGCCAAATGCTACAAAACTGATAGGACGCAACTTCACAGTGCAAATGGATAATGACTGCGAAAGCAACTCAAGACTATATGAAGGCAAAGAAATGGAATATTCTTCAATGGCCAAGTCAGTTGCCTGATCTCAATCCAATAGAGCATGCTTTTCAGTTGAAGACAAGACTGAAGGCCCACAAACAAGCAGCAACTCAAGATGGCTGCAGTAAAGACATGGCAAAGCATCTCCAGGAAGGATTTTCATCCAAGTAATAAAATTGTGCTTATATTTACAATTGTCACTTTGTCCAAATACTATTGAGCCCCTGAAAATGGAGGTACTTTGCCTAAAATGGCTGTAAATGGTAAATGTAATTTTTGTGGAACCTCTTAAAATAAAGCTAAAAGTCTGCACTTTAATCACATCTTGATTGTTTTACTTCAAATCCATTGTAGTGGAAAACTCAGTCAGTGTCCGAATACGTCTGGACCTGCCTGTACATACTGTACGTGCAATACACTAACCATAAGAAAATCTTATTACCAAAAGTGTGAGCAGTTAGTGTATTTCGTGTGGAGCAGGAGCTGGTAATGAGAGCTGCTAGAAAAACAATGTGACATTCCTATCCTCACTGGTACTATAATGGGCTGGATTAAAATGACTTTCTGCATTAGTGGCTACAGGCTGGTCACAGAAAATACCAACAACAGGAGGATTATTCCTGCGTGCATGTGGATATGTATGCTGTTTGGCCTCAAAACACTGAACAGAGATCAGCAGGTATAGAAGTGACTACATGGTCACCAAATAGCAACTAACAGTTAATTCAGCTCAAAATGATGGTATATGGCAACAGAAATCCTTTAAAACTCTACGGACTGCTCATTTTAACAGTTAAATTGCACTTTAGTGACATTCTGTGGTAGAAGAGAGGAAAAACAGCAAAAACATGAGGAAGTACACAACACAACCAACAAGACGCTCCTGCTACCATGTTAATAATAAAGACAAAGACACTAGTGTCGTATTGCAAAATCATTGATATTTATTCATATTCTGTCAGTAACCCACGGCACAAAAGCAAGAATAAAAGACAAAAACAAACAAACAGAAGAATGCCACATCCACGGACAATGCTGCAGCGGGAAACATGAGCTCTTCGAACGTTTCATCCCTGTTATCAGATGATAAAACCTGAGAGTCTAGAAAGTCTTGTGTGTCCAGTAAGAGATGATGAATCGAACGCAAAAATGTGAACTTTTATTTTTATGAATGATACGGAAGGTGATCAGATCCATCAGAACCAAGAAGTGAAACACACTGGGTCATGTTTAAACTCTCCAGCTTCAGGGTGCGATTGTGAGACGATGTGCAGAGAAGCCATGTGACAAGTTACACAGCGATCATGCAGTGAAGCGTCAAATGAAGTGTGATAAGGCAAAGTTCACAGACATTTCTCCCTAATTCACACACAGACCTGGCTGAATATTGCAGAGTAAAACATTCTCGGTCCTTAGTTTTCAGCTCATTGAACAACATTTGCAGAAAAGCTACTGTAAACAACGCAATGAGCATTCAGGTCTATGTAACACTGAAGCAGATGACACACAATAGCTCTGGAGATACATTTCAGAATAGCTGAACTTACATTATTGGTGTCCGCGCAATGACAACAACAAAAAAGCAAGCACGATGTGCATACAACACAATTAAACACTTTGGTTGCAGAGACAACTATCGTACAACACAAATTAAACTGACTCTTAAATCAACTATGTACAACAAAGGTACGTAAAATATGCAAAATAAATTCTTATCCACTTATCCAGGAGTCAATTGCACAATATACACAAACATTCAACCATTCCATCTCTCTTTATTATTTGAAATTCATCAAGAGGTGCTGTGGCAAATGATGGATAAAAAAAAACAGTTCTGATGTAAACCACAGTAAAAAGGTCCAGATATGGTTGAGCATCTGCAGGAGATCCCACAGACATCATGTTTTACATCAGTGGTAAGTTGGTAATTTTTCACAATGTTTTTATACTTCATTTTGATTCATAAGCTTTTCATCCATCATTTATGGGTTCGCATATGGTGAAACTACTAGACAAACAACTTTGAGGTCACTAAGACCATCTTAAAGAAAAATCTGGTTCTGATTTATAATAGTGTAATAGCCAGTGATGCCAGTAGAAGAAAAAAAAAAGAAGTTATTTCTGGAGAAAATTGAATTGAAAACTAGAGTGGAATAAAAGGTATCAAATCAGCTGTTGATTTCCGTCATATATATCCTTTCCATCACTCTTTCCACTCAAGAAAAACAAACATCTTCACAAAACGAGATTCATGACATCTCGTTTGTCCAATCACCACACAGTGCAAACACCGAGCTGAGTTCTTTATCTAGCATACTTTAATCATAGCGCTATTGGGAAAAAAGAAATAAAGATTGAGATCCATGGTAGTCAAAGCACTCTACTCTAAATAGCAAACTGAGATGAAGACAGCAAAAATGTCCACTATTCAATTAGAACAAGAACAGATAGCATATTTGTCTATATTTCTTTATCATCTGTATTTACAAGAATCTTAACTTGTCTTAAGCTGGGAGTGACACATATTTGCTCTCAAGAGGGAAATAAATGTTAAAGGGGAAATTAGACATCACTTCAAATCCTTTTGATTTCAATGTTAATGTTAAAACATACGTGTACCATCGTCCCTGATAATGTTTCAAGTTGTTTTTTGTCATTAGGGTCCACTTTTTGGAAAATGTCCATTTAAGGCAAAGAGAATAGGGAATGCTGGAGGACCACGAGCGGAGAGCTTCTCTGCCGGTGTCCTTCCTTAAAATTTGAGGTAACGACTGCCAAAGAGGTCTTGATATTTTAAGTGGGATGAACTGAGAATTTTTTAGAGGGGGGAAATCAATTCAGTCTCTGTAAACCCCTTTCTGCTTTTCATCATTGGCACCCACCTATGTACAGACTATAAGATCTCCTCAACGCCATGAGCGAAGATCATAACCAACCCCGGCTCCAGAATCATATCTTCACCCATGTGCTGGTTCTCGCAGGCCATCACCACCACGGCCTGCTTACCCGGAATGCGCTTGGCCACATAGTTTTCGTAATATCGGCGGTTCATCTGCCGCGTCTCCAGCGTGGCCAAGCCTTGGGGCCAGTTACGCTCGTGGGCGTTCTCGATGAGGTCATTAACGATCGACAACGGGCATCCACTGTCTATGAGCGATCGTTTGATGACGGCCTGGAGGACGGCGTCGGGTGTGGAGATCATTCCTCCCCAGCGGGTCACGCGAGCGGGCTGGAGAGAGTTCACCCACCTGTGGCCAAACGAGAGTGGTTAGTTTGAAAGTCATCACATTAGCAATTATGGAATCAGCCTTATTTACTTACTCAACAGTAACTTGTCAGTATTCATGAGCAATTTACTTACTCCTTGTTTACATAGTAGACTTACATTTTATCCACAACACAATACAAATAACTATGGCTGTGGCCTTAGCCTTATTATTTTCACAAATATATTATAAATATATATACACGCAATATATATTGACGGTATATGTACAAATGTATATAAAACTTTGGCGTTGAAACGTTTGGTGTACTTTTGAATACTTTTGTTTAGCAGGGATGCATTAAATTGATCAAAAGTGACAAAAGAGACTTTTAAAGATTTCTATCTCAAATAAATGTTGTTCTTTTGAACTTCCTAGTCACCAAAAAAATGTAAAAAATGTATCAAGATTTGCACAAAAATATTAAGCAGCACAACTGTTTTCAACATTACAATTATAATAATAAATGGTGTAATTTCAAAATATTACTGTATTTACTGTATTTTAGGTTAAATAAATGCATCCATGGTGACCATAAGAGACCTATTAAAAATAAATAAATAAATAAAATATATTAATTACACATGTTAGGTCATAAATTAAGTCTATGTTGCTGCATATATATATATATATATATGTTAGGGTTAGCGCTTCGTATCGCTCGCATATAAGCTTTCAGGAGCTGGATGTCACGTTTCTGAATAACAGAAATCATGAGAATATTAAAAGCAGTGTGGTGTGTGCTGATCAGAGCGGAGAATCCAAGATGTTACAATTCAAATAAATTCACGTGACATCGTGACAGTGACATTTACGCAGCCTCATGATAAAACATAACACACACAGGTCTGACCTGTTCTGCAAGTTGGTGCTTGTGCTCAGCTGCAGTCTTCTCTAGATCTGCAATCTTGGTTTGCTGTTGCTGCACCACGCTGCGTAGGTGCTTAATACAGTTGTGATTGGGCATCTCATCTTTGGGCATTTCTAGCCTGCAGAGTAAAAAAGTAATTGTGATATGTCAAACAAACATTGAAGACAATTAAGGGCTGTTCACAAAGGATGTATTCTTGCATTCAAAAACTGTGTGATGTAGAGCTGAAAAAGAACATGGAACTACAGTCAAACACATGCATATAGCACATGAGTGGGTTAAGTGAGAACTAGATAAATATGGTAGATACCCGCAGCCTTCTTCACACGTGACGGGTCGTTTAGGGTTGTGCTCGCAGTCCTTGAGATGTGACTGCAGCTGGTCGAGCCGAAGGGTGGCTGTGCAGCCGAAGCCGGCGTTATCACAGGAGATCTGCAGCTTGGAAAGCATGTTACGCATGATTCGGGGAACGGGTCGAAGATGGGCAAGAGTCACCACGGAGCGGTCCACAGGGCAGATCTGCTGCTGTGCAAACCACTGTGTGATGCAGGCGTTACAGAAAGCATGCTCACAATGCGGGGCCTGAGAGAACAGACAGATTGATCAGGGTGTAACCTGAACTCAGTGCCTACTGACTTTTCTTGCTGAAGTGCATTTTTCAGACATTTTGCACAGTGTATTTGTTTTGATGTTTTAAAAAAAAGAACAAAATAAATCCATTGGTAAAGACAGTAATTTATATATAAAAAAATGAATAAAATAACTAACTTTTACTAGTATTAGTAACTAGTATTTCTATTGTTGTTATTTTACTATTATTAATGTTATTATTAGTGCTGTCAAACGATTCATCGAGATTAATCGTATACAAAATAATAGTTTTTGTTTATGCATAATATATGTGTGTTCTGTGTATATTTATTATGTATATATAAATACACATACAGTATATATATTTGGAAAATATTTACATGTCTATATTTATATTAATATAATGTATATATTAAATAAATATATTTAATATATCAGCATAACATATTTTTCTGAAATGTATACATGCATGTGTGTGTATTTATATATACATAATAAATATACAAAGCACACATACATATATTATGTAAACAAAAACGTTTATTTTGGATGTGATTAATCGCGATTAATCGTTTGACAGCACTAGTTATTATCAATAATACTAATAATATTATTAATAATTAATCAAATAACTGATTTAATAATAATAATAATAATAAACAATACTGCTATTTTTATTAATTAATAAAATAACTAATTGAATAATAATAAAGTATTATTTTTGTTATATTATAATTTTTTTACTATTATCACTGATTTTGATTGATTGATCATTTTGAACCCTTGTGAAACACATTCATACAATGATCTTGGTGCAATGATATCTAATAACCACAAACTCATAATTTTGTCTATGTCACTTTCTCAAGGTGTTCTAGGATGTTGCGGTCGAATGAAAATAAATATCGACCTGCACTGGCTCCTCCAGCACCCCGCTGCAGATGGGACATAACAGATCCTCGTCCACCTCTCCTTGGAACCTGGTGACGTCGTACCCCATGGCACATTACCAGAATCCTTTGATATCTGAAATGAAGCAGGCAGGAAGAGAGTGTTGTGAGAACTCTGCCGGTACACTCAGCTGCAGCCAACTGCCTCTGAGACAGAGATGCATGAGAAGAACTGGAAGTACAACAGGATGAAACTAAAAACTTATAGCCTCTGTTGGCCATTTTTAACTTGAACACTAAAAGCAGCACAAGAACAGAAGAACTGTGAAAGCAGGCCTCAAAAAGATTTTAACCAATGTATTATTTGAGTTTCTTTGTGGTACTTGCTTTAAAATGCTTTAAAATTCAGATTAAATATAAAAAACTCCTTAGATGCACTAAAAGTAAACTGATAGAGGTTTAAAGGGGTCATATGATGCGATTTCAATTTTTCCTTTCTCTTTGGAGTGTTACAAGCTCTTGGTGCATAAAGAAGATGGCATTTTGAGCTGAACATGGAGGCACTCAATGTCCTGCTACAATACAGACGTAAAGTGAGATCGCATGTACAAAGGTTACCTTCTTTTTGTTCTTTGTAGAGCCACTAGGTCTACATGGCTCTATCAAGTGAAAAATGCAATGTCTGTGTGTTTGTGTGTATAAGATTACTAATGTGCCGTCAAAAAAAATATAGGTCCACTGTGAAGTGTGGCGGCCCACTTAGTAACCCAGCATAATGGGAAACCATTTTGAGTAGCCTAGAGATTGCATTAAGATTAACAATGCGAGGATAGAAATTTCACCTCTTTTCTGACTTCATTTTGAGAAACTGCAAAATGGAAGGCGAACATTAATCAGTTAGTGCTTTCACACCTGTAGATCGATTACTTTGTTCCAAAACGGGGATTAAAATGATTACAATGTTGCTTTTTATTCTTGGTGCGGTTCACTTTCACATGGCAATGTTTCTAAATGGACCAAATTTGTTAATACAAGTCACGCGTGAGTAAACTGTTCTCTCATTGGTCAAAGATCTACGGGTTATTTTCCGGGATTCCACTTAGCCGTCACAGCTGTCATCTGTCAGGATGGAAAGACAACAGCTTCGCGGGCTTATTGTTGTTGTTTTTTTGTTGCTGTTGTTATATTAATTTATCATTTTGAGCAGGAGTCCAGGATTGATCGGGAAAACATTTTTAAAATGCACCTACTACGAAGAAGGGCAATAAGACGGCATTATAAAATGAAAAAGTGCGCTTTGATTTTGAATGGCGAAGACGTGCTCACCCACAGACATTCACAGGTTAATTTTGAGGTATTAGCAAAACAACAAAGCGAATGCTTTTCACGGAACTTATGTAATTACCCATCATACATTGTGATATAGCCTGGTTCGTTGGATCGGATTGCTTTCTCACTACAACCGTACCGCTCCAGAGTTCGTTTTCAATCGAGCCGAGACCACCTCGTTCAGGCGATCTCGGACCGATTGTTTTGGCGCAGCACATATGTAACCGAGCTAAGGGGGGAAACGCGCCAGGTTCCAGAACAACGGGCCAGGTGTGAAAGCACCCTTAGTGTCCAAAAGCAGGTGTGACACAATCAAAACGACAAGTAACAAAAAACATCACCTATAATAGTTTTTTGTCCTAACCAGCTGTGACAAGCAACAAGACATTTTGTCAGTCGGTTTCTATTCTCCTATAATGAAATGCTATTGCAGCAAAATCAGCTTCCATTCAGCTGTATATTTAACATTAAATACACCATGATTGCTTGTGACTGTATCACTTGGCACTTTGTAGCAAGTAAACAGAGAACGGAAGCAGATATTCACGATAATCAATACATAAACAAAATCTACACACATTTCTGCCAATCATTTCCATTTAAAGAGACTGCTGCACCATATTTTGAATATATTTGAATGTTTTCAGTAGGGCTGCAAAACAATTAATTGCATTCAAAATAAAAGTTTATGTTTACATACTATCTGTGTGTGTACTGTCTATATTTATTATGTATATATAAATACACACACAAAAAATATTTGTATGTATATATATATATATTATTAGTGTTGTCAAAAGACCCGGTACTGCGGTACCAAGTCGGTACTAAAAAAATGAAAACATTTTTTTAAGTACTGGTGGTACCCGGTCAACCCGGTTCTTGATGCGCTATCGGAGAAACACTGCTTCTGTTATGAATATTATGTCAAAATCGTGATTAAAATCGAAATCGCAAAATTGATCAAAGAAATTGCGATAGGTTTTTTTTGTCCATATTGCACAGCCCTACTCTAAAGCAGTAAACATTCAGATCAGTGACTGACTGATTAATCCATATTTTACCATTTTCAGCTGATTAAAATAAGCAGAAGAGTCAATTCTAAAACATCAATCCTCGTCAATGAATAATATACTTTTTATTATTCTTATAGTAAACAGTCTGTATAATATGAGCTCATTTAATTTCAGTGAATATGAATGTATCATGTCATCATAAAATTGTACTAACTGTATTGTATTAGGCTAACGCTAATATAATGAGCATTAGAATGAAGTTTCTTTATTAACTATTTAATGCTCCTATAACTTTTATTAGCGTAAAAAAAACAGGAGGACATGATGATATTTACTATTTTTACACACCAGAGGCTTTTTATTTAATTGTGAATCTAAAATATGCGTGTTAGAGAATGTACAAATGGTTAAAATTGTTTGTGTCATATCAGTCAGAAGTTCTGGGCTTTTTTTTCAGCTAACTTAGTTGTTATTCTTGGCTGAATAGCTCTAGGTTTTCAAAAGCCCTTTCAAATTAAATATGTACAGTTTGGATTAAATGAAAGTAGTCAAATTTTTTAATTAGCATGTTTTTGTGTTTTGCTTTGGTACCGAGAACCTAATAAATATACGCAGTACACTCGCATATATTATGTAAACAAAAACTTTTATTTTGGATGCGATAAATCGCAATTAATAGTTTGACAGCACTAATTTATATTCATATCCATATTCTTATATTTTATATTATATATAAATTAGTGCTGTCAAACAATTAATCACGATTAATCACATCCAAAATAAAAATTTTTGTTTACAGAATGTATGTGTGCTTTGTATATTTATTATGTATATATAAATACACACACATGCATGTATACATTTCAGAAAAATATGTTATGCTTACATATTAAATATATTTATTTATAATATAAATTATATCAATATAAATGTAGACATGTAAATACATGTAAATATTTTCAAAATATATACTGTA